GCCTGTCGACGTGACGCTCCTCTTTCTCTATCCCTGTATGTGCTACGCTTCACCTAAGTGTCCCCTCTGGCCCTCCCATGCAGGCACATACCCACTGTCCTTCTCTGCTGACAGCCTGGCATGCTGTTACCGCTCAGAGTAGTGCCCTGCTGACCATAGCTAAGCCGTGTCCGTGACTCTCAGCCCCCCGGAGTACATTAGGCCCACCTCTGGCCATCCCAGTCCAAGCCTGGCTGCCTGTCCCCGTGCCAGCAGCCGCAGTCTCCTCCATAACCTGACTGCCTGGTCCTGAACCAGCAGCCGCAGTTGACAGCCTGACGCCCCCAGCAAAAGGGGCGGCTCCCCCCCCCCCACTGTCCCCTGAGCCCAGGATCCACCCCTGCCTGCCCCAACCTGGAATTGGGGCAGGCTCACGGAGACCATGAGGGGCGCCTACAGCAGTGTCTTCATTCCTGGTGGCTCTCCCGAGTACCAAGGAGCCTGCCGTCCTCCCCGAGGCTTGCGCCCGCCAGCCGCCCGACGGTGAATCACTCTCTTGGCCACAACATGCGGCCGTGCGACCTCCTGCTCCTGGCCTGCAGCGGAGGATCCACCGCTGCAGGCCTCTGTGCTGGACTCAAACCCTCCGGCTCATTCCCTGGCCCACCAGCCCCCCCACCGCCCTTCGATGTGCTCCTCCTGCGGAGACGAGCCGGCACCTCACTGGGACTCAGGCCTAGTCCACCGCACAGGCCGGCACCCTGGAACCTCCGCGGCGGCCGTTGACGGCCCTGCTACCCCAATCCTCTCCTGTAGCCATGCAAAAACACAATCTCTCACGACAGCACGCACTCCAGTCAGGAACTCGTCAATTGAATCCATCTGGAAAACAATGCAGAAAACTCACACAAGCCTGACAGAAAACTAACAGGTAAGTGCAGATTTGATTAAGATGGCCACTACACAAAATTGCTGTGTTATATATGACTGGCCCAAAACCCTGCCCCCTCCATTTCCACTTAACTCTCCCCATGCCTAACTCCTGGCCTTGTCAAGGCCCATTCCTCTGCTGTGCTGCTCCATGGGCTACAGTTCTTCCAAATCCCTTGTTTACACATGTCTGGTTTTAGCTTTATTTGCTAACTCTAACTCCCACTAGGGGTAAAGTTTAAATAAAATGCTTTCCAGTATGCATGACATTTGCATAAGGTTTCTAGCTCATGTCTTTAAGTCTGACCCATATTATGGGGAAATACATTGAGCATTTCCTGTTTGGGGAGGAAAAAACAGGGTGTTACCTAATTCCAGAGAAAAGCAACTCCACCCACATTCCATGCGATTAACTTCAGTGAGTGTAAAGGTGACAGAGTCACATCAATAAAGATTACACGATGACAGGTTTATTTTTAGACATATAAAAAATATATAGTATTTAAATATAAATAAAATTTTATTTTGTGGTAGTGCAAATGATATTACATCTATATGATTAGATGGGTTAATATGAAGAGTACATTTATTTTGCTTTCCAAATATCTTTTTTTTTTTTTAAATAATAATGTTTTAATAACAAAAGTAGCTTTGTAGTGAAATTAGGAAGTACTAGAAAATATGGAGAAAACCTAGGCTGGATACTTGATATATTGTAGATATTTTTGTTTACACACATAATTTCATAAAAGGAGCTGCTCTGCAGTATATAGAGTTTACATTATGCAAGATTGTGCTGGCATTCCATCCTCCCCCACACACCAGGTCCTGAAACCATTTAGGAATACCTAGTTCCAACAGAGATCTGTAAACTCCCAAGTAGAAGCGTCTGTTGTCTCTCTTGAGCTAAGTCCTGTGCAGCGCTAGCTCATTGGCCGAGAGCATTAGCTGATTGCTCTAATCTAATGAAGATGCTAAGCGCTGCAAGGCCAGGGTTTTCTTAGAACGAGAACTTCTGTCTCTGTGTCTGAAGTAGTGGAAGTAGGGAGTGGCATCTGGAAGACCCCATATAATTAGATGAAAACATGATGTGAACATTTTTTTTGCCCAACTTTTGTCTGCTAAAAGCAAACTGGAATGCTAAAACTAATAACCAATTCTGATGGGTTCATACAAAAGGTTTCAATACTGTTAACAGATTCTAGTGAGCTGTCTTTGAACAATGCAGGTATTAGTAGTGAGAACCAAGGTAAGATTTATTGGTATTAAATATTATTAAGCATGAGTTTTGAGGTTGAAAAAATGCGTGACTGTTGTATAATGTATATTTGATACTCACATTCTAGAGTACATGATACCTGATAAAAATTAAATTAGTCATATTATGGATTAAAGTGACACTATAGGCACCCAGACCACTTCAGCTCAGCCCTGTTGCACATAGTACAATAGGAGAAATTGTAATATTTATCTTGCGGTACTAAGTCTGCCTCCAGTGGAGGCGCTTCCTGGCTGTTAACGGACTTTTGGTCTGGTAAGTGACGTCCTAATGCTCTGCATGGGGAGGGCCTAGCGCACGTGTGGCTCTTGCAGAGGAGGCAGTGCTGCAAACAAACGCAGAGGAACATTTGAGCTTGGATTGAGTATGTAAATAAAGTGTTTTTAACCCTTTATTAGCCACGGGGAGAGGGGAGGGGGTTGAAAACTCAGACATTCATCTTACTCTTCTATAATGTAAAAGTAAGATGCAACTCCTGATAATGAAAGCCACCGAATATATTGTGTTCTCTTGGTGTCTGTAGAAACTGGCCATGCTGTGACAGACATAACTTAGCAAGAGATATATCCCATTTTCTGAGATAATGTGCCCATATCCTCCAACTTCGGCATTCTGTGAAGTGGGATGCCAGTGGGCAGGTTAAAAAGTAAAGGGCCAGTGATGTGAATAGCTTTATTGGTGCTACCCAAAGGAGATTCTTCAATTTCAAATGGATAAGCACAGAGAAGTCTTGAATCGCTTTGGCTCATTCTTTCATTCCAATAATCCCATTACTTGGGAATGGAGATCTCTTTACTGGGAATCCTCAAAAATATGTCAGATTTTTCCTCAGGGAGTTTTAATGTGTCTCTTATTATACAAATAACAGACTTTGAGACCAAAGACTGCATAAAACCTTCTGGATCATTATCCTCATATTCCTAATATATCTTCACTGACTTCTCTCCTGATTTCACTCTGTATACTATACATATCAACATATCAACCCAGGACATACTTGGAAACGAGAGAAATCTCAATGTATCTTTCCTGGTAAAATATTTTATAAATAAATAAAATAAATAATTTGTTAGAGAGTCCCTATCCTTTGGAAAGGGCCTGAAACCCCTAAGACACAGCTTACAAGATCAATATCTTTACTTCTCTAGTAGACAAACCGCTTGCCATCATTCCACTCAGCCTCTGATAAGATTCTTGAACTTATGGATTGTCCCATACATTAACTAGTCTTCTCCTTCCTTGAGATGAAGCATGGTTTCTACATCTACCAATGTTTCTTATTTACAGAGTTATTTCTAAACACATTTATTCTAGTCCTACTCGTGTAAAGCTCTATTTTATATTCATACACCCCCTAAATAAATTGGGTCCCCCCCAATAAAAAGAAGGACATTCTGGTACAAGGACTAAGGGACTTGCCTCATAATAGGCACTCTCCCTCAGGGTCACTTGGGATGTGTTAATTACAGATGCCTATATTTGACTTTCATTTGACTCTTTTTTTCAGACAATATTAATTTCCACAACTTTCTTCTAAATTCAGAAAATGTTCTTTGAACCTGAACATAGTTTTTTGAAGTAACCGTCTTGACTATGAGATCAGGGTATTAGTCATGTTATCTTTCTTTGTAGGTCCAAAATACAGCTTTCTGATTTGTTTAAACAAGCATTTCTTTATGTTATGTTCCATTCAGCTTTATTTGAATAAAACTCTTTGGATAGATTTTGTGTGCTCGCTATAAATGAGAATTAACATATGGTGTTGGCTTTTCCAGCATGTGAATATAAAGTTTCATTACCTAGTCACAAGCCATAGATTACATATACATGTAGGATACATTTATTTCCTATCCTGTACATTAATTTCTCATCCTTATAGATTTTTTTTACAAAGTCCCACTGAGATTTCTTAGCAAGTCACGTGTTACAAATGTTTTTAATAGATAGTACATCCATTAAAGAAATAGAACATGATGCAAATTAGAAGAGGTAGAAAGTAGCATGCAGGATACATTCTTGGATATGGTATAATGAGGTGGAATAATGACATGGAGAATATTTTCAAAAAAAGTATTTTGATCTAAAATTTTGCATTCTCTGGTCAATGCCCAACTATTTCAAGTCTAATTTATAATCTTCCTTTCGCAGGTTTATATGGTTATTTACAAAAGTGAGAATTGTGAGGAATTCAAACGGAATGTCAAATTTAAGGCCAAAATTAGTCAACCTTGTTTCAGATCATCTACTTTGGCCATAAATTTGACATTCAGTTTGAATTCACTTTAAATTCCAGGCAATTCTTACTTTGGTAAATAATCCTGTTATTGTTTTAGCAATAACTGAAACATATTCAATGTTAATGTTGAATTTACCTAAAAAAATATTTTTTAAATTAAATTGTACACTAGATCCTTAAAAGGGAACTTTGTGGGGGGGCGGAGCCTGACTGCCTAACAGAGCAGAAGCAGGGGACACGAGCTCCTGTATAACGGGCAGGAAAAAGGGCATATTTGGGGGCTAATTAGCCCAAAGACCCACTAGGGTGCATCACCCACGTCGGGGGTGCACCCCCGAACAAAACAAGACCTTTTTGGAGCCCATCGGAGCTCGGAAAGCGGGACACCAAGCGCGGCCTATGGAAACCAGAGCCGAGGAGAGACGGCCACTCTCTCTGACACCGGACCCCCTAAGCGACTTAGCAGGTCTCCAACCCCCCCCCCGGGATATCCTGGTCCCCATCGGACAGGCGGACCAGACAAGCTGACCAGCCTTTTGGCTACACTGCCTGCAGAAACGCCGGATCTTACACAAGATGGCCGCTCAGCAAGGGCCAAAAACGGCGGGCACAAACAACACATCACTCACTCACTGCATGGCAGGCTTCGATCGGCTATGTACGAACCTATGGACAATACTTTGTCATCGTGGAGTGTCCTGCAACCGAGCAGCCAGAGTGATCGCCTTATGGATCCGCCCAGTGACTAGCAGACGCCATTACAGATACCCACTACAAGCGTTCAGGACGGCCATGCGGCCACAAAGGCGCCAAAAATCATTCCAGCGGAATAACGTGCTACCGGGGCTCACCCACGCGTTCCCATACACACAGCAGCTGGACCAAAGAGCAACCTCTGCAGCCACACTACCTACCCAAACAAAGAACCTCGGACCAAAGAAGCACGTCTCTACATCCAGAGAATATGGCCGAACACTGTACAAAAGGACGCTTCCCACAGAAACACCAAAGAGGGACTTAAACCCAGAGGTTCCACTGAGCAAAGCGCTCTGCATGGACACAGCAAGTACATACTACTGATACCCGAAACAGGCATAGGCTTAGGGCCTCCTTACTGGCAATACACAGCCCCCAACCTGTGCCCAACGCTGTGGTTCACATGCCCTCCCTCCCTGCGACCACAGGCTAAATATATTACATAGGCACTCTGTACCTTTATTTCACCCACTCTGGCGATATTTAGATATCTGCCTGACCACCCAGTGGAACCTAGTTCCACATAGATGGAGATGCAGTAACACATCCTGTCTGTTTTTAAAATTTATGTCTTAGCCGTGTTGCTTCAGACCCCATCTTGTACCTAACTGTGTGTTTCATAGTGAATACAATATTTAAGCATGACACAATATAATGTTTCAGCATGACCTCATATATACTAGTTAAGCATGATACATTACTCAGACTAGCATAGTTACACTGCAGCTCCACAGTTACCGACCTAATCGACGGGACATGTTAGACATAGTCTAACACATTACTAATTAAGCAAGGTAGCATTGCAGTCTCATTGTTGTTGTCCAATGTGCATGTTAATACAATATTCAAGCATGCCATAATATGTTTAAGCATGACCTCATATATACTAGTTAAGTATGTCGCATCACTCAGACTAGCATAGTTACACTGCAGCCTCACAGTTGCCGACCTAATCGACAGGACATGTTGGACATGACCTAACGCATTACGAATTCAGCAAGATAGCACTGTAGTCTCACTGTTGTTGTTGAAAATTTTTACTGACCTAATCGACAAGATATGAGTAATCAAACTTATACGCAACGAATTGTATTAATAGTTACTTAAAAACACAAAAATTGTGCATGTTTCTCTTAACCCCAATGTAACCTATAAATGTGAAACGCTGGAGGATTGCCTTTGGGGTACCTCACAAGCGACTGTTACTTATCAATGCACTACAAAAATAAAGAATGAAAAAAAAAAAAAAAGGGAACTTTGTTAAAATATGTAACCAACGTTAACTGTAAACTATTATTTTGTTTAAGATAACTACTCGGTATCATTAGGGTCATTAGGAGACTTTTGGTCGCCTAACTGATGCGTCAACTTTGTTTTTCTGGCAGTATAGCTTTTCCTTTAACATACTTGGGTTGTGTTTGCTTGTGTAAGAGGGTTGCAGTGCGTGTGTGTGACGGGTGCAGTGTGTGTGTGCGGGGTGCAGTTTGTGTGAGCGAGGCAATGTCTGTTTGTGAGGAGTGACAGTGTGTGTGGGGGGCGACAATGGTATGTGTGTGTAAGGGCTTCAGTGTGTATGGTGCAGTGTGTGCGTGTTAGGGCTGCAGTGTGTGTGTGTTTGTTTGAGGGGTGCAGTATGTTTGTGAGGGGTCCAATGTCTGTGTGTATGTGATGCAGTGTGTAGGAGAGCTACAGTGTGTGTGTGAGGGCTGCAGTGTGTGTGGTGCAGTGTGTGGGGGGGGGGTGACAGTGTGTGGTGCATTGGTAGGAAGCTAAACGACCATGGGTTTCAGCCCAGGGGTAAATTTTATGGCTACATTGCCTTAGGTGCCTCCTAAAACAAGCCCTTTATTTGCCCTATTTCTAAATCTAAACCTAAATGTGTTCTATTAGTCACTAGTGATGTAGCGAACATGAAGTTTTCGGTTCGCTAACCGCGAACGCGAACTTCCGCAATGGGCAGGCGAATTTTAAAACACACAGGGACTCTATCTGGTTGAAGGGGGGGGGGAGGAGACCTACTCTCCTCCCCCCCCCCCACCCCTGGGCGGCGGGTGGGGGCCATAAAAATAATGAGGGGGGACCTACTGTCCCCCCCGGCCCCCCACCCCTGAGCGGTGGGTGGGGGCCCTAATAACAATAAGGGGGGGACCTATTGTCCCTCCCCGGCCCCCACCCCTGAGCGGTGGGTGGGGGCCCTAAAATGAACAACAAGGGGGGACCTATTGTCCCCCCTGGCCCCCACCCCTGAGCGGTGGGTGGGGGCCCTAATAACAATAAGGGAGGGACCTATTGTCCCCCCCAGGCCCCCACCCCGAGCGGTGGGTGGGGGCCCTAAAATGAACAATAAGGGGGGGACCTATTGCCCCCCCCCGGCCCCCACCCCTGAGCGGTGGGTGGGGGCCATATTGATAATGAGGGGGGGAAATACTGCCCCCCCCCGGCCCCCACCCCTGCGCGGCGGGTGGGGGCCATATTGATAATGAGGGGGGGACCTACTGTCCTCCCCCCCGGCCCCCACCCCTGGGCTGCGGGTGGGGGCCCTAAGTAAATTCCCCCCCCCACAATGTGACTAGGGGTCCCCAAGCCCCTAGTCACCAACCCCCCCCAAATAAAAAGTCCATACCTACCCCCCTCACCCTAAAAAATAGTGAGGGGGGAATAATATAACTAACCTGTAAAATAAAAGTAAACTTACCATTAGACGTCTTCTTTTTTCTCAAATCTTCATTTTTCAGCCCCAAAAAAGGCCAAATAAAAACCATCATAACCGTCGAACTAAAAACCGTCGAACTGGCTTGAAATCCATCCAATCACAGTGCTCTGTGTCATTTTACACAGCGTGGGAAAATTGAACTTTCCCACGCTGTGTAAAATGACACAGAGCACTGTGATTGGATGGCTTGAAATCCATCCAATCACAGTGCTTTGTGTCATTTTACACAGCGCGGGAAAATTCAAAAGAACTTTCCCACGCTGTGTAAAATGACACAGAGCACTGTGATTGGATAGCTTGAAATCCATCCAATCACAGTGCTCTGTGTCATTTTACACAGCGTGGGAAAGTTCTTTGAAAATTTCCCACGCTGTGTAAAATGACAAAGAGCACTCTGATTGGCTTAAACCCACCAATCAGAGTGTTCTTAGCCTAATTGCAGGGCAGGGCAAGGCTTTATAAGCCTTCCCCCGCCCTGCGGAGCTCAGTCTGCGCGGAGCCATCCATGTGTGAAGATGGATTATTTTTTTGCGCTTGGGTTTTTTCTTTTTCGTCTGGTTTTTTTTTTGGCGCTCGGGATTTTTATTTTTTTTTTAGTTCGGCGGTTATGTTGGTTTTTTATTTGGCCTTTTTTGGGGCTGAAAAATTAAGATTTGAGAAAAAAGAAGACGTCGAATGGTAAGTTTAATTTTATTTTACAGGTTAGTTATTTTATTCCCCCCTCACTATTTTTTAGCGTGAGGGGGGTAGGTAGGGACTTTTTATTTGGGGGGGTGGGTGACTAGGGGCTTGGGGACCCCGAGTCACCTTGGGGGGGGGATTTACTTAGGGCCCCCACGCGCAGCCCAGGGGTGGGGGCTGGGGGGGAGGACAGTAGGTCCCCCCCCCTCATTATCTTTATGGCCCCCACCCACCGCCCAAGGGTGGGGGCCGGAGGGGGGGTGGACAGTAGGTGCCCCCCCTCATTATCAATATGGCCCCCACCCGCCACGCAGGGGTAGGGGCTGGGGGGGCAGTAGGTCCCCCCCTCATTATCAATATTGTCCACACCCGCCGCTCAGGGGTGGGGGCCGGGGGGGACAATAGGTCCAATAGGTCCCCCCTTATTGTTCATTTTAGGGCCCCCACCCACCGCTCAGGGGTGGGGTCCAGGGGGGACAATAGGTCTCCCCCTTATTGTTATTTTTAGGGCCCCCACCCACCGGGACCACCGGGGGGGACCCTTTTTTTTTTTTAAACAGTGAGCAGCCACGGGCTGCTCACTGTTTAATAGACATGTCCCTACTCACGGTATTACGAGTAGGTGCACAATTTACTAATACTAAGTAATTTTTACTTAGTATTAGTAAATTAATAGGGGGCGGACGCTATGTTCACCAGGAACTATTCGCCGGCGAACCGTTCGGGACATCACTATTAGTCACTATTATGATCACAAATCTTGCTGTAGTAACCCCAAGCAATGCTCTATTAACCTTTTACCCCACTGCATTCAAAAACTGCACCCACACCAATACACCCCTCACTGTGCTGTATCATTAACTCCAATAATGTAGCTTTAAAGGGAATGTGCTATTTCTTTAACTTTTATTGGAGGTGCTATTTCTTTCTTAGTATTACAGGGGTCTCAGGAAAATCAGGGTATTAATGAAAAGGTACCAAAATTAGACCCATGATTTTTGCATACACCGCTCTGGCTCCTGCCACTAACAGCCACCGCCCCCCTCTCCCTCCCCAAGTAAAGCCCCTGGAGTTAAGCATAATTTGTAATCATCAGCATACTATATCAAAACACCCCAAGATTCAAAATGGACAATGAGGGATATTATAAATTTAGAGGTATAAGTGTGGTTGTGGCCAGGGACAGGGCTTGTAACAGAAATGTAGATGGCTTACTAATAAATTATGCATCTAAAATGTAATTTAGAACAATGTATATTATTTATACAGACTGACACATTTATTGTAGTTTATAGCCATATTACTGGGAGTATTATTACTGTGGTGCTCTGGGATACACTTTGACAAGCCTACAATATGGAGCTCTAGGAAAAGAGGTACATTAGGACAGAAAAAGAGTCAGTCCTAAATAGGAACATCTGAGAGGTGCTACAACAATGTCTTTGCATTTATATATTGTCACAGCCACTTTTTAAATGGATTCTTCCACCATATATGATATAAATTTACACTGTGCCATAACGTTTTTTTATTCCACTGTGCAATAAAGGGTTTGAACACATTATCTACTAGGTGGCAGGGACATTGTTTAGTTCCAGAAACAGCCAGGGCCTAAGGCCAAAGGAAAACTCCATAACCCATACAGGTGGACATCTGTTATGACACATACCCACCTGTCTCTGTTATGTCCCCTGCTCTCTACCCATGAGTGGCGTGTTGCAGATGCTCTCCATATTCCAATTATAGCATATCTGAAAACAAGCACATTTTGCCCATACAGATATTTCATACAATCCTACCATTCTAACTAGCTAAGTAGCCTGGCCTGGAGCACTAAACTACTGATCTTTCTTTTTATATTAAAGAAATGAAGCAGCTGCCAGTTAAAAAGTAAAAATAAAAACCCATTATCTTCTGGAGACATGGGGTA